AGTGGGGACTACGCCTTCTTGTGCCCAGTGGCTAGTGTGGCCAACCGGATGGCTGAAGCCGGAAGCCCCGTTTTTGCCTACATCTTCACCCATCGTCCTGCCTTCATAGTTGCACCCGACTGGATTGGGGTACCCCACTGTGCCGAGCTGCCTTATTTGTTTGTTTCCATCCTGTCTACGCTGGATGGCAATGCCACCAACTCCGATGAGGAAGAGATTCTCAGCCAAAGGGTTATGCAATATTGGGGGCAGTTTATAAGAACTGGGTAAGTGATTCTCATCTTTTTTAATCCCACCCAACCCTTAGCCTTCTAGACCTGTTCATTCTGTCTTGGATCAACAGGATTTCAGTTTTAATGCCGCCTCTATTCTGTAACGTAGCCTGAATCTTGATTGAAATGGATATAGTCTCATCTAAAACATCTGCAGCTGATCAGCCACCACCCTCTCTATTGGCTTGCTCAGAAACAGGATGTTTGTAACGGGTCTATAGTTGCTTCATTCATTTGTCATCATGTTAGTTTTCTTAGGAATGGGTCTTGTTGCAGTTTCTTTTAAAGAGGAAGACATGTAGTCTTCCTGAAGAGATGTATTGGTAATATGAGTGGCCTGTTCTATTTTTAATCTCCTTGGTGGACTTTAATAGCCAAGAAAGACAATAATCAACAGGAGAGGTGGTTGCTCTACAGGAGGGGTCCCCAAACTTTTCAGTAGGAGAGCCACATGATATATTTTATATATTTTCGAGGGCCAAAGGGGAAAAAAAACGACAGTTTTATAATAAGTGAATGACAGATGGGGTGGGGGATTGCTTATGTCAGGCTTCACTCCTCTCCCTATCCCCGCTTGAGCATAGGAAGAGGAGCGAAGGGGGACCCAAGCGATCCCCTACCCCTGCTGTCTTTGAAAAGACAGCGGGGGAATCACCTCAGTTAGGCTTACCGAAAATAAAGACTTCCCCACTCCTCCTTGCAAAAGCTAGGCTGCTGGAACTGAAACTACTTCTGTTTCCACAACCATCCATTTTAGGCAGTTGTGGACCCCCAGCATACAGGACTGAGACAGATAAAAAGGCACAGGCCGTAATTTGGAGACTTCTGCTCTCCAGCACAAAAATGCCTTGTCTACATCGTTCGGCATCACCAATTAAAACCAATCCGGTAAACCTTGACTAGGTGGTGCATTGGACATCTCAGTTTGATTTACTGCTTTCAAAGAGGAGTCCATTGGATGCTTTCAGTTTTAGTTTTGAAATATGCTGCTAGCTACTTAGAATTTTCTAAACTTAGTTGTAATCGTTCATGCATTGGTGAGGCTACTGACAACTCAAAAGATTCCTGCTTGTTGGTTAGAACATCAAATAATCCAATCGGTAGAAGTCATACTTCACAAAATACAGTGTAAAGCGCTCTTTGTTTTATTGAACTTCAGACAGCAAACAGATTAATTAAAATACTTCGGTGAATCTGAACTTTGTGAGCTGTCCACAGCAACTACCAAAACAATGCTCTTTTAAGTAACAATGAGCTCTTACTGTAATTATTAGAACTACCTCAACAAATGTTATGATCTTGTTTGAATTCCTTCCCCTGCCCTATGGAGATTGCTATTCTTGTTGATTTTGGATGTGCCTGTAATTGCACTGCTAGGAAAAAAAAATCCATCAATCTCCTTTCTTTCCCTCACTCATGTCTTCTTGCTGTGCCTCGGCCTGGTTTTCTTCCCCTCAAAGGTCTCCTGATGGGGGAAGTGGCAAAGAGTGGCCTCTTTACACAGGCCAGAACTTCTTTCGCATTGGCACAGAACAGGATCAGACTGAAGAAACATCACCCACCTTCTACTGTGACTTTTGGAAGTTGCTGGCTCTGGGGAAATCTCAATGTACGGTAAGTAGTATAAACCCTGGGTGCTAAGGGGGTAAGAGGACCATGAACCAATTGGATGACCCTACTGCGGCATGTGATTTCAGAACATCATTAAATCTGGAAGGATCTGGAACTAGCAAGATGCTCTAATGCTGGAGGTAGTTCTGATTTTCCAACCCATCTCTGTGTTTTTCCTCATAGACCTCCAAAACATCCCAATTGTATTGAACCACAAAGGTCACAAATTCATCAGATGTGATTTAAAAAGTGAATAACACAGACATTATTACTTGTGTAGGTGGCCTGAGGTGGTGTAAATTTCTCAAACCCCTGACCCCCTCATTATTGGGCCAGTCACTCTCTTTTCCACAGGATTGTTGACCAGATAAGCAACTGTTTACAGCTTTTTAAGTTTAGAGGAAGAAAGGCAGGGTGTTTATGTAACTAAACAATAATAAATGAAGAAATAAATGAATGAATGAATAACTAAGTAAAGGGGTTTGGGTTTCGGGAGATTTCTTCAGAACTGGGAAGAAACGCACCAGATGTCTGATTTGTAGATTACCAGATTACCTAATGAATGATTTGGTAAAGGGGGATGCACAGATACCTATTCCATTTGTTGAAAGTGTTCGGTGAATGGGTTTTCCTCATCAGTCAAGACCTGGGCTAGTATGGACAATGATGAGTTGTCTCTATGACTTCCACATGGATGCCAACATGGTGAACTTACCCGATTACCCTGATAGGAGTGAAGTTTGCAGTAGATGGAGTTTTTCCTATTACAGTCTCCTTTAACCAAACATACATTGCTGTTTTCCAGACTCAGACCCAGTGGCTTGAAGACTCTTTCACTGGGAGAATGTCTGAAAACCAAAGAGGCTATGAAGAGCCACCCCCTCCATCCTTCACAGCATGAAGCAGAGTTGAAATATAGTGTCTTCCTGTACTCCGTGTTAACTTTGTAGATGGGATTTGGCCCTCCCCCCATATTAACACTAAAAAAAGAGAACATCTTTTCCCAAACCTTCTATTCATTTACAATTGCTTTAAAATACAATATGAGTCTACAGTTAAAAAACGCATGGCTACAGCAATCTATATGCAAATAAAAGGTCCAGAACTGTGAGAATGTGTGAAGCCTTGTGGTTTCTTGAACCATGTTTTGTTATGCCATATCATGAGCTGGATCCATCTATGTTGGCAATAGTGAAACATTTGGTGTCTTGAGTAACTCTGTGTCCCCAGGGTGACTGTGGTAGACATCATCACCTATGAGGATTCTGAGGCCCGGTTCCACCTTCCCAAACCTTCATGTCTTCCATATAAATATGTTGGACCACAATTCCCATAGTTCCCAACTCGCATGGCTGTTGGAGAGCAAGAGGTTGGGAAAATTGGCTTAGAACATTTTGCAGTGCCACCAACGTTGACAATATTGTGCACCAGAATTCTTTGTGTTCTGCATGATGATCATCACTCATTGGTACAGATTGGTCATGTCTTGTCCCATCAAGGGAAAAGGAAATGTGGCTGTCAGATGCAGGGGGTGGGTGGTGGCAAGGAATAGAAACCAAAACGTTTCATTTTCTAGTGGTCGAAATGACTAGATAGGCGGGGTATAAATACAATAAATAAATAAATAAATAAATAAATAAATAAATAAATAAATAAATAAATAAATAAATAAATAAATAAATAAAATTATA